AACATATAGAATATAATTTTTCGAAATTTTTTTTTCGTATCTACATTAGGTAGTTAAATGAAAAATAGTGATTCATATCAATTTTCAGAGTCATACGAATCACTGATTCAAATTGAATGATTCGAAACTTTGATCCGAATCGCATAATTAACACGAGTGACTTGAATCACTTGATACGAATCATTGATCTGAATCGTTGATATGAATCACTTGAATCGAATATTGACCCAAATAACATGGTTCAAATCATTGATATGAATTGCATGATTGGAATCACTTAATTGTCATCGTAGATCAGAACCAATTGATATGAATATTGTTCTAAATCGCATGATTCGAATCAGTAATCTGAATGACATGATTCGCATCAGTGATCCAAATTGCATGATTCAAATCAGTGATCTAACTTCATAAGATTCAGTTATTTAAATCACTTACTTTGAATCAATGATTTGGGAAACTTAATTTGAATAATTGATCCAAAACATGATTCGAATAACTGATCTGAATCACATTACTTGAATCACTGATATGAATCACTTGATTCGAATAATGACCCAAACAGCATGATTTGGAACAGTAATACGAGTCACATAATTTGAATCAGTGATCCAAATTGCATGATTCGAGTCAGTAATATGAATCATTTCGTAAGAATAAGTTATTCGAATCTCTTGATTTGAATCAGTGATTTGTGTCACTTTATTCGAATCATTGATACAAAGCATGATTCGTATCAGTGATCTGAATCTCTTGATTCGAAGAGTGATCCAAGTCACATGATTCATTATGATTTGAATCACTTGATTCAAGTCACTGTTCTGAATCACTTAATTCGCATCATTAATCCAAATAATTTGATTCGAATCAGTATTTGAGTTTAATAACTATTCGAATAATTTTATTTGGATCAATATTCGAATCACGTGCTTCAAATCTCTGGTTCGAATAATTTGATTAGGAATACTGATTCAAATAATGTGATGCAAATTACTCATTCGAATCATGCGATTTAGATCAATATTCAAATCAAGTGGTACAGATCAGTTATTCAAATCAAGTGATACAAATCATGATATCCGCATCAATGATTTGAATCATGTTACTTGGGTCAATATTCGATTCAAGTGATTCATATCGGTGATTCAAATCTAGTTATTTAAAGCATTGATTCGAATCAAGGGATTTGGATCAATGTTTCGCATCGAAAGATTCAAATCAGAGACGCTAATCAAATGATTCTAATCATGTGATTTGGATCGCTTTTCGAATTAAATTATTCAAATCACTGACTAAAATCAAATGATTCAAATAACTGATTCTTATCAAGTGATTCACATCACGGAATCGAATCATTCGATTCGGATCACTATTCGAATCAAGTGATTCTGATCAATAATTGCAAATCAAATGCTTCAGAAAAAATCAAAATTGCAAAAAATTCGAAAAGAATTTATCTTCCTATCGTTATTTTTATAACTAATGTCGATGAAAAAATTAAATAAATCATTAAATTTAAATTAAATAGATATGGTTATATCTTGCGTATATTTATATGCATATTACATCTTGCATATAATGCGTTTAACTATGGTAAATTTTAAGAAACTTCAAAAGAAATGTTTCATTTTATTTATTTATTTCTTATCTGAATTCATCGAATTCTTTAATTGGAAAATCATAAGTCCTTAAAAATGAATGCGTGAGAATCTCTTAGGTTTTGCAAGAAATTTTTAACTGTATATGACACAGCATCGCTGTGAAACAAACCCAACTGAAATTTACGAAACCTAACTGAAACCTAACTAATTCATCATTATAATTTAAATCTATTTCGATAATAGCGACTGATTTGAATCGATTCGAATCAATAAGTGATTTGAATCACCAAGGTGAACTGATTCTGTAGATTCGAATCACTTGGATGATTCGTTCCGTTCAGCTCTACAGAAATGTTTAGATTATGCGATTTCTCATACATATCAATGAAGTTTTAAGATTTTAGAGACCAAGCTTTTATTTCTAAGCTTTAGAGGCACCGGCAATAAATTGAGATCGAAAAAGAATGTTTTTGAACACTCTATGCCGAAAACATAGCAGTAAGCTTGTAATTTTAACAGATTTTGTAACTAGAGTGGTAACATCAATTATGCTAATTAATTACCGAGGACATTATTTAAAGTTACTAAATCAGACACAGAACGTACTTTCTCTTAACGAACATAGTCCCGCAGTGGGCTGATTGATAAGACACGGTTCCCAGCAGATCTCCGAAGTCAAGCATCACTGGCTGCGGTTAGTGTGCGGGTGGGTGACCACTTGGATTAGTCTGCGTAGGGAGAGTGAGTGTGCGGTATTGGTCCTCGTTAAACTATTCTACCGTAAAGTGCTCGACTTCGCGTGCAGGTCGTTCTGCTACCGAAGCGGTGGTGCCATCCCCTCTGCAGAGGATCTAAATTGTGATGGCATGTCTTCGGATCATCCTCAGGGATGTTTCCCAGACCGTCGTCAATAGCCCATTGTGCAGCTCTAGTGCGACGTAAATTAACTACAACAACAACAACTTAACAAACATATTTTTCTTTGACGGATTTGGATTTCTGACCCAAAGTATAAGGGATAACGGCAATCTAGGAAATATGGTTCCAATATTTTGGATTCTTTAATGATACTTTTACTTTTTGCGTATTTCGCTGTCCACTGAGATTCAGAATTGTGAATCAAATTTTTGCCCGCATTTATAAAATTCGTTTAACCAGAGATAATTCTAAGCAAATTTTTTTAAATAATTATTCGTATTCATTATTATTTTATTTAATATTAGTTGAAAAATTTTCGAATTGCAAGCTATAAAAATTTATAGAAAAATATGCCAAACAATTACTGATAAATGGGATTTTAAAGAAGTCGTTTAAAATTCAATTTCTCGAAGACTGTTCGAGCGATTTCGCTCAAATTTTCTATTTTGACTTATAAAATTAAATTATTTAGAATGATGGAAAAATTTGTCTAATTCTAGTTAAAATTGTTTTCGTTACAATTCGAAATTTTTTCGATCATTATTAAATAAAATAATAAAAAAATAATAAATATTCATCAAAAGTTATTTTTTTGTTGGGCATTATCTTTGAATAAACGAATTTTAGAATTACGTACAAAATTTTCTTAATTCGCTTAAAAAGTTCTCGAGCTATAGCGAAATACTCAAAAAGTAAAATTGACATTAAGGGTTCCAAACTTTGGATTCCTTAGTTTCCAACTAAGTCATCCAAACTAGAGTTTCAAACTATAGACCATATTTCCCAGTTTGCGGCTATTTCGAGAGTCAGAAATCTTAAACCGTCAAAAAAAAGTGCATTTTGCTAGAATTTTTTTTGCATGAAATTATCTTTAAATAAACAAATTTATAATTGTAAGGAAACATTTTCGATTCTTTTAAGAAAATATCGAGACATGGCGAAATACGTAGAAAGTAAAATTGTTCAAAATTTGTACTACTCAACTGAGTAAACTATTGGAACCATATTTCCCCCAAAAAGGACATTTTGAGGGTTATAAATCTAAATCCGTCAAAAAAGGTATTTTTATTCAGAAAAAGTACGTTTTATGCATGATTTCGTATTTTAGAATATCGTCTGCTCTGACTAATTAGCATATTTAATTATCCACTGTATCCACTGGATAATGTGGATATCCGCAGGAACCATCAAGATAGAGTTAAAGAACATGAAGATCCGATCTTTAGATCAAGTTAATCAGGGTGATTCGTTTTTTCTTTCGCACTGTACATTAAAAATACAGTTAATTTTTAAACTACTTTCTAATTTTAATTTATATTCTTTAAACTTAAATAAATACACTTGAATCAGAGTTAGTCATTCGACTAAATAGACTACGAATTAAGAAAAAAAACTATGCTTTTAGATTTCCTTTATTTATTTTAAACTAATTAGCGTAGCGTAAAAAAGTATCTTTATATTTCTATTAAAAATGAGAAATATGGTAATAATTAGTTTTCAATCTCTAGGCAGATGTTAAAAGTGTGCAATAATACACATAACGTGTTCACAGGCAGCGATAATAATAATAAGCCTCATTGCAAGATAAATACAGATTTTTTTTAATTGTTAAAAGCACGCTGAAACAAAATTCTTTTTCTTCTTTTACATGTTTTCCCCGCTTAATTTACGTTTTAAATCTATTTTTCATATGACAGTTTTCCTTCGTTTTTCACCCTGACCGTAATCGGATTAAAACTATCAAGTTAAATTCCAGTTTTTGCAATACAGTTTTGCTTTGTTTTTCACCCTGACCGTAATCGGATTAAAACTATCAAGTTAAATTCCAGTTTTTGTCACCCTGACCGTAATCGGATTAAAACTATCAAGTTAAATTCCAGTTTTTGCAATGCAGTTTTACTTACCGTTAGATAATTTTATCTTTTTTCAAATCAGTTTACGAATATTTTTAATACTTACTCTTATTTTTCAGAAATAGCTTTATTGTTTTGAACATCGTATAAATGAAATTGCGATTCGATTTCATTGTTGAATATATGCACTACCGTATTATTATCTGTCTTTAGATATAATTTTTCAGTAAGTAAAATTGCCGGACATTTTTATATGATACTGGCAATGCAAATTCTGCTCTCGACTCGTTGACCTAGTTATTTTTTTTTAAATAAAAATAACAGTACTTCTCTGCTTAAGAAACAGGCCATCATTTTAAATAACAGAATTTTTCTGTGAAATAAACTTTCTTATACCGTCACACCAGCTGACAGTTTCTTTTCTGAATAAATTTAATAGATTTTTAACCAGAGTGATTTTGCCCTCTCTGTTAAGATTTTTGATTTATTGATGAAGTTTTGCTACGCGACATGAAGTGATTTGTTCTAATTTTTAATATTTATGAATATATGTATTGGTTTTACAGTGGGATATTTAAAGTTATTTAATAAGAATAGCTTCTTTTTTTGCAGCTATTCTTCACATGAATCTTCAAAATTTGGTGGTCTAAAACTAAACTGCCAATGCATAAAAGAAATATGATTTTTGGAGAATATTTGAAAAAATTATAATTATCATGATGTAACAAACGGATAAAGCTTCCTTGAGAAGAGTTTCTGCTTCTAGAAACTAATTCTTATGAGTCTAGATTGTTATTCATCTGTTTCAAGATGGCTGGTTCAAATCTAGAAATTATAATCAGCAGTTCAGACCTTAGCTCACTGGAATTTTTTGATAATAGTTCAAACTGTAGTTTGAACTGCAGTTCAAACGGAACAGGGATTGACCCTGAACTGCCTTACTATCTGACATTCAATGAAGATTCTATTCGAGAAGTCATACTGTACAGCATAATGCTGGTACTCGGTGCTACTGGTAATCTGCCAGTTTTCATAACTCTAATTCGAAATCGGCATAGAAAGTCAAGAGTTAACCTGATGATAATGAATCTTTCAATTGCTGATTTGATTGTAACATTTGTCATGATACCTTTGGAGATTGCATGGCGTATCACGGTTGCCTGGGTAGCGGGTAACGCAGTCTGCAAGATAATGCTCTTCGTGAGAGCTTTTGGACCTTATCTGTCTTCAATGATTTTGGTGTGCATTAGCTTAGATAGGTATTTTGCTATCTTACATCCCCTGAAAGTGAATGGTGCTCAAAAAAGGGGGAGGATTATGATAGCAACGGCGTGGACTATAAGCTCTCTCTGCAGCATTCCGCAGGTAAATTTTAATGTTCTATGTTATTTATGTTGTCGACACGCAACATCGTTATATATAAATAACACTGGGTAACAAATTTTTTTTCTCGTTTCTGTTGAATAAAATTTATGAACGGATTTAGAATATTTATACGTCCCTGATTTCAAATTTGCATTCGGTTTCTTTCCTCAAGCTACAGATTTTCTTTTAAATGTCATTTTTAATCTACTTTCTGTCGAATTTTACAAGTTTAAAAATGTTATTTATAACAGGGATCGTATAAATATCGTGCCAAACTTCTAAAATATAAGGCTGAAATTGCTTAGGAACTCGTGCCCAAAAATGTCTTCGTACTCCACAAGGCGCGCTTCCTTATTATGAACTGCTTCTTTGTGGCCATCTAAACAGGCCACAATAGGAAAACCCGTGGCATGGGTTTTTATGCAATTTTAATTCTAATCTGTGTTTTAACTTTCCCAGAAGTGTTTCGCTGCCCCTTTTTTCATATAACGTTTTTAAACCTGTATATATTGAAAAAAAATTAAGCTAAAAATATAATTTAAAAAAAAAAACAGAGTCTTTGAAGAAAAACTCTTCTCAGATTTGAAATTCTCACACCCGGATTAGGTAAGATTAAGTATTTGTATAAATGTTACAAAAAATTTGCTCCCCAGTGTTTTCCATTAAAAAAATTGTGAAGGGTTATTCAGAATAATCATTTTATTAATGCAACTTTTTACAGCATAACATGACACTTCTGATTTTAATAATTTACATGCTAACGGTATCCGTAATTATAGCCTATATTCATTTCAAATTAAGGCAACTGTATGCAATACTACTACATTTTATACTACTAGATAAGCCGACCAGTCTGTGTAGGGGGCAGGGAACTGTCCTTGCATCAGAAAGGTTCTGGGTTCGAATCCCGGGCAAGGCTTCTTTCCCTCTATCTGTGTTCTATGTCCTTTCTCCTTTGTGTGTGAATGTGTGAATGTGACCCGCCCTATAAACGGGTTGTGGTAGTGTGACGTGGGCGACGCTGTTCCACCGTTGTGGCTTCGCCACAGGTGCCCACTGGGTAACGAAAAGAGAATTAGCAGTTCTGACACTTTCTGTGGCCAATGGACAATAGGTCCAAGTGCCCGCCATTAAAAAAAAAAGAAGAAAAATACTACTAGATAACGTTGCGAGTAAGTAATCTTATTTTTAATTATGTGCTGTAATACTGAAGGTTGTTGTGCTTGAGCTCAGTAATTAAAATTTTTAAATTTTCTTTATTTTATAATTTTTGTTATAGAATTTGTAATTTTAGTCATAGAAATAAACAGAGTGCTGAAATTTATATTTCGATATCTAAAAGGAATGAAACAGTGAAAGGCAGATCACAAAAATTTGAACAAAAAGCTAATGTTACAGCTTCGAAGGCGATATTTAGTAAGAATATAGATATTTAAATTAAGAGTGAATGCAACTATTTATAATTACACAGGTGATCAGTTAATAGGTATGGAATACCTTTAATAATCAGTACAATAAATCAAAACACAGAAGCTGGTAAGAGTGGCGAAAAATATTATTTATGTAGTATTTTATTTGGTTATTAATTTCCTGAGAGCTGCATTTTATTATAAATAATCATGCTTTCATCAAGAAATGCCAGGCATCAAAATAAAGATATGGTATAGAGAAAATATATGTAATATTATTTAACGATAATTATCTGACTTATTGCAGAATAATGCTCTTTTTAAAAAAAAAAACAGCGGAGAAAACTATAAATAGAGATGGTTGTTTTTTGCTTGGAACAGAAAGATTTTACTATTACCCAATGGCATAATTTCTATTATTTTTATTTCGAAACCAAACATCAGCAAAAGTTGGCATATAAAAATAATTAAATTTATTAGTTATTTTGATGAAAGAATATTGCCTGTCTTTGAAGACACTATCTTTGTGTGACACTAAATCTGATTTCAATTGTAATTGATAAGTATAAAATTAGTGTGAAAAGTATCCGAAGTTCTTCATAATTATTATCCTTACTCATAAAATCAAAGGCTTTTATAATTTCAAAAAATTTCTAGTAGCTAAAGGGATAAAATCAGATACATATAAAAAGTAAATTTCAAAAGATGTCTGCGGCCTCCTTTGAAATCCCTTTATTTCGTTGATTTTTAAAAAATATAGTAAAAAATTTTAGAACTGCACTTATAATAACGAGACTCCAATTTTTTCTGCATTAAACTCATATTTATTTTCTAAGAATTTACATAAAAGATGTTTGAACTTAACATAAAAGATATTTGACTCACCGTAAAAGATATTTAAAAAATTAAGAACAAGAACACTTTAAAAAAAACTTTTTAAACAGAAAAAAAAAATTCTTTGAACTAAGGGTAAAATTTTATTTCATTCTTCCCTGATGAAAAACACTTCAAAAACTTTTTCAAACCTTCCAATTAATCACCATAATAAAAAATATTATGATGAAATAAAAAATTTTTCAATTGAAATAACCTTAGTTAAAATTTGAAATTTGAAAATAAATTTTGTAAGATTAAATTTCCATATTTCAGTTTTCTTTTAATTTGTAATAATGATCAATTATTTATTTTTGATTTCTATAATTTTGCTTAATGCTAATGCGTATGTGTTTTAGTTTTTACTTTTTAAATTTCACTCTCAGCAAAATTTATTCAGCGTTAATTCATAATATAAGTATATTTGACCATAATGGTACAACATTATTGGATTGTCAAATTGAACGATACTATCGGGTGATGCAAGGGTTGCCGAACTGTGGTATTTGATCCAAACATAACGTATTGGACATTAAAAACGATCCTTCAAGCAGTTCGATTACAATGTTGGAATTTTTATTCTAAAATTATTGTAAAATAACCGCAGCAGTCTCTCTATCCGATTAACCGTAAAGTTTACGGCAAAGAACATTTTTTACTTTTACGGTTTTGGAACTATTTACAACTAGAATGGTTTATAAATCATGATTACAAAACTATACGATTTTTTAACCATTTACAACTAGCATGGTTTCAAAATTATGTGGGGGAAAAAATAAACTGGAAATAGGAGGTATGCTCTTCATTAGGAAATGGGCATCGGGGTGAACAGTACTCAAATTGAGGCGTACAGGACACTGGAAACTCCTCACGTGTTGAGGGAAATAGAGGAAATATTGTGGTGTCAACGACCGGACTCGAACTCCGGTTCTGTCGGTTATGAGACTGACAGATTAACCCTCTCGTCTACAATATGTAAGCAATCAAATTCATATGTGCAATATCTAAGTGACTTCTCTAGGTAGGCTTAGTTGGTGCGTTGAAGTTCTGATTGTTTAACTGTATAAGGTGAAAGTTAACAAACGGTTTATCTTATTGTTACCATCTTATTTATGGTTATTCAACTGTTTCTTTGATTATTGTAGAATAGTAATTAAATAAATTGTTATTTAGCCATTTTTCGGCGAGATTTCTAGAGTGTACCACGGGAAGCTAGTATTTCTCTTTAGATCTCATGAATTTTCATTCCAGATAATTGGTTAACCCTTTCCGACGTAGTAAGACCACTTATTGCAAAAATTGTATAAATGCCATATGTAAAACTATTTGTTTCAAAAGTGGTTTCTTATAGAAAGCGATGATGAACACTTTTCTGTTGCAAGTAGTTAAGTCAGAGTATAAAGGCAATAATTCTGTTTCTTTGCTAAACATGAAAGCTAACTTTTCTTCTAAATCAAATTCTACAATTATTTTTATACCTTAATGTATGGATGATGTCACCAAATCTAGTGAAATAAACTTTCCGTTATAAATTTACAAGGTGTTTTCTTATTAAATTGATATTGCATTGCTTATCGTTATTTCATATAATATTAATAGTTTGTCCCGCATATTAATTAATTATTTTTTTTTTACTGAGAGCAAGTTTTGAATTTTAAATATATTGTTTTTTTATTTTCCTTATTTTCTAGGAAATAATATATGTTTTTATTTCATTAAATAAAATTTAATTTGCTGGAATATTGAATTTTATAAAAAAGCATATGTGATTGAAGTTATTTAATATTGCTTTATCAGATACTTTGTTATACGAAGATGATTATTGAAAGCTTTTTTAATTCCTTTATTCTATAAATATTGCATTGTTTATTATGTAATACCTACAAAATTGCAAAATTTGAAAGTTTCGATTTCATGAAAAAGCTATTATAAAGATTTTATTTCTGATACATTTTGGCTTCAACTTTCTTTATTAATTTACTTTTGCAAGTTAATATGAATTTAAGGGATTGCTCTTTAAGCTCTTTATTTTTTTAAAGCTCTGGTTGCTCGTTTTTCTGCTTAAGCCTTTGCTCCTCAGAGGTTTAAAATAGAGCTATTTCAGTAACCTCTTTTTCAGATCTTAACATTTTTGATACTTAATATTTAACAAGAATTTATACCAAGCTCACTAGCTATAATTAATCAAAGTGAGATGTGGTTGGGTCGTGTCTTCCCCCGCCCCATTATTTCCTTACTTCTATCGTTTAATTTTTTAGAAATGCAAATAGACATACAAAAAAAATATCATCTTTCCTCGGTTATGCAAGAGATGGAGTTTTGTCAGAAAGATTATTATTTCTTTTCCATCTAATACGTTCAAAGAAGTTTTCACGTGTAACAGTTTTGAAGAAAAAGAGCTTTATGAAAGAAATAGGAATTTGTCTAAGCGTATACGTATCAAGATAGTTCACAAACACTCTTTTTACAGCAGAAAATTATATATTTAAAAATTTATGTAAAAAATAAAGAGCTTTCAAAATTATTAAGTACTGCAATTATACTTCAAATACTTCACCTCCTTCAGAAATTATAAAAGCGAAACAATTCAACATATTTCGAGTGCTCAAAAATAGGAGCCCAATCTACAGACTCACCAGACAAGAAAAAAGAAAACATGTTTACAAATAAATTGAATTAGTTCCATCTTTTTGGATAACTCTGTATTTAATTTCTATA